CCCCGGGGGCGGGCGTGGAGGCCCGGGCCGCCCCCAGCCCCTGGGCCGGGCTCCGGGCTCCGGGCTCCTTAGGGCGGCTCTTACCGTCCTGGTCTGCCTCAGGCTTCCTTTTATTTAAAGTGCTTCGAGCTCCTCGGGGTGGCTTTCAGCACTGCAGTGAAGTCCTGCCTTGAAAAGCAAAACAGGATCGTGCCCGAGGGATTTGGATAAGGATGCAGATTTTCTAGCTGACCTCTACTTTGTGCATTGTGTAGAAAAGGCACCCAGAGGAACAGGAGGATGAAGCGGTTCATGGCCATGCTGAATAGGCATAAAAGCAAGGATCCACCACCAGGCCAAGTGCTGGAGCTGGCAGGAGAGCTTTGCCAGCACTTGCAGAGCCCGTCTCCTGTCCTGGAGAAGCTGGTCGGGGCCATTATGGCATGCAAGCACACGATGTATTTTCTCACCAACATCCACGTAGTCCGAGCTTGCGTGTTGGTTCATGTCCAGAGAGGAGAGCACGAGGCGGCCCGCAGGCTCCTGGAGGTAGGGATGCCGCTTCCCAAAGCAGCAGCAGCAGCAGAACAGCAGCTGGAGCTGTTATGGTTAAAGCAAAGCAGAGCATGGAGATTTCCAGCTGTTGTAGGGTAGTGAGATAGGTGGTTTGGCAGGCCCACAAGGATGAGCACTTTGCTATGGGCAGTTAATCAGCCAAGGTGGAGAAGGTAACTGGGTGATTATGGGGTTGGTCATAGTTAGAGATGGAGCATAGGCCACATACTTGGGTAAAGGTTCCCAATCTTGGGATCCCAATCCCAGTCTTTGTCAGTCCAGTAGGTATCTCTGGGCAAGTTTCTATGTGTCGAGGGTCTTCTCCTCTGCAAAGAAGCCTGATTGACTCCTATGAAAGGTTTGCTTAGCTGCTCTTTTGTTTTAGTGTTGCCAGGCAGAAGAAAAGGAGGAGCTGGTGCAACTCTGGTATGAGATTCACTACCAGCAGGTTATGGAGAAGCAGCACACGGACTTTCTGACCCCGCTGCAGAAGTTCCGCTGCAGGAAGAGGTACCGCAGTGTGGGGGGGTACATTCTTCCTCTGCTCTAGTTGGTAGGTGTAGTGGGTAGAAACTCAGAGGCTGGTTTTGCCATTGCAGGATGACAGCTTCTTGGAGATAGGTTTCACTCGGGACTTTGACCTGTTTCAATATGACGAGGCTCTTATAAATGCGAATGGATCTTTATGGTTTATTCTCGATCCTGTTTCCTTTTGTGTACAGGAATCCTCCGCCTGTATCCCTCTGTCCTGAGGGTTTGAAGAACCGAAACTACCCAGATAAAGTCCGCCAGGAACTGCACAGATTTGCAGCAGAGGTGACCACAAATCCGAACAAGGAGCAGCGGGTAGGGATTCTACCTCCCAACAAGTTTCTTTGTAATGGAAAAACAAGTTTCTGTGATCAGGGATCTGTAACTGGTTTCATTCTGAAGGGGCCAAAATTCCCTAAATTTGATCCCTCACTAAAGGTTTGCTTTAAAATAAGATCAAGCTAAATAATTTCACTTAATCTGGACAAAAAGATCAGGGGAAAAGATCTGGCCTTCTTTGGGCCCTTAACAGAGGGCCCTTTCTAATTTTGTAGTTTGACAAAGACAAGGAAATAACCATCACTTGCAAGGGTTATGCTATGATGATAGGTTCTGCTTTGACTGAGCTACAGTCTTTATAAAATTGCACTTTTATCATCAGAATATTTATATTGTACTGACTTATCATGTTAAATTTAAAACTTGCAAAGTCAGTCTCCTTAATGCGGTCTAACTGATTTATCAGAGACTTGGTAAATCTTTAGTTGATTTGAAAGCTCTTTTACATGGCTACTCTTGCAAGTAGAAGGAAAAGCCGAATGATTTGTGTGTGGCTTATTCTTTTTCCCCTGATCCGTCCCCACATCTGGGTTTGTAGGAGGAATTGGCTCAGGACATGAATCTGAAGCCAACTCAGGTCTATAATTGGTTTGCAAATTATCGACGTCGTCAAAAATCCCGGCTTGCCTGCATGGAAAAGCTCACGAGGTCACACGCCGAGAAGGCTTTGACTCACCATGCAAAGCAGCAGCAGTGCAGAGGATCCTGCACTCCACAAACAGCAGGTTAGTCTTAGTAACAGGCTTGGGATATATTCCAAAGAGCTGAAAAACAATTTTAAGTTCTCCTGGAAGGATGATGTCCTTCCTCTGGAGCAGCAGCTATATGTCGATGGCCGCTGAGGACTGCCTGGGGGATGGTACTGAAGTAGCACCCCTGCTACTTCATCTGACTTTTGTATCAATAATTACCACTATTGCCACCACTCTGTGAAACTGAGATTGAAAGAGTTGCCAGTGTTCATGCAGTGATGAAGTTAGCACCTGTTTTCTTCTACAGCAGGGGATCCATCACCCGCTGATGGATCTTGTCTTTCCCCTGCCTGCCTGGCCATCCTCAGGCTACTCCTGTCTCTTCTGTAGCCTTTCCAGCCGTGGATGGGATGCAGAGTGCCCTTCTAGGCAGCACACACTGGTGGCTAGCAGAAACACACGAATAGTTCATAAGTCTCATCCTCCAGGATGCAAAGGGGGTTATTGAAATGTAGATGAGTAGTTCTGAACTCCAGTAAACCCCAACATTTCCAGGCCCCCTCTCAGCATCTCAACTACACTTCAGCCATGGGGAATGCTCAAATCTTGCTGCATTTGAGAAATCAGACTGTTTTTCATTGCCTTTTGGAGGGACTGTTAGAATCCCTTTACCTGCCTTCCCCTATGGCTTTCAGATGGATCTTATGCAGGCCTCAGCTCGGAGCAGATGGAGATGACCCTTTTGCCTAGTGACCCGCGGCGGGAGCAGTCAGCTGTAGACCTGGATAAGTCCCATGAAGGAACATATTTAAAGATGCTGGAGTCCAGGTGAAGTATGAAAAACCTGTTACAGTGACAATTCAATGACAAGAAACATCATTTAAACTTCTTTATGGAACTGACTTTCATCTCAGTTCCCAGGGGATATCATCTAGGGAGCTTTGACCCCATAAATGGGAATGGTTTATGCCCTGGCATCAGCTTCAGGCAGTGTGAGCAGGGGGCAGTTACCCACCTGCCTGCCCAGGGAGGCATTCAAGGGTTTAGGCGCTGGGTCCCCCTTTTTGCAAAGGCCAAGTCTGGCTGATTTATCTCCTCCACCACCACAGCTTCATGCAGACCAGCGGGCTGTCCGAAGCGAGGACCACCAATGCTCTGCTGACCGCTTACAACACTGAACAACCTGTAGCTTTTTGCTCTGAGCCTGTGCTGGAACTAGGAACATACTTTAGCCCTGCTGCCCTGCAGAGCAGAGAAGCACCAAGCAGGACCGATGCCAGCCCCCAGCTCAACAACTTTGTCCCGTGCTCTTGTGGATCGCTCCCCTTCCCAGGCGAAGAGCTGGCCCCGTGGCAGGCCCCTTCCAGTGCCAGAGGAGCCTCTGGCTCCATGTGGACCCCAGGTACAGAAGGTCAGTATGATTATACCTGCCTTGCTCCCTTTACTAGATTTTAAGCTTCTTTTCCCTTTGGTATAAATGCTCTTGCTCTCTTACATGACTTTTCCTGTGTCTGGATAAACAAGAACCTTAAACCTTAGCTGTGCTTGTCTTCAGCAGCATGTTCTCACTTTCCTTTGTCCTTATTTGGTTTTATTTCTCTCTCCCATCTTTTTTCCTCTGTTTACTTCCTATCCAGTCTTGTTTAGCTTTCCTACCATCTCCTCCCTTTTCTTCTCCCTGTTCTTCAGAATAGCCCTGCTATAAACTGATGTCCACAAGCCGGGTAGGTTTGTGGAATGGAAAGTGCTGGGGCTGCCGGTCATACAGCCGCTGGTGGATGTGGGACAGGGAGGGGAGAACTAGCTGGGCTAGAAATGGGCTCTTATTACCTGCAAGTCTTTAACATGAGCATTTATTTCAGCAGGTTTCAGAGCTCCCTTGAGCAGGGTCCCTCAAGGTGGCTGTATCGAAGCCAGTTCAGGAAGCATCATTCCACAGTCAGATTTAGAGCATGAAAGCTTCATCCTTAGAGGAGAACAGCTAGGGACTCTGGAAGCTCTTCTTCCCCACAGGTAAAAGCAGCAGAGAGCATAAGGCTTCTCAAAGGCAGGAATAAATGAGGTTCTGGGTCTAGGCTGTCCCTGACGGCCCTGTTGAAGAGGGCTGCAGAAACAGGGTGATGATTTGTTTCATTCCAGGGGCCTAACTGTCTCTCTGTATCAATCAGACTTTGCTGATAATTATCTGCGTGCAGGAAGCAGGAAATGCTGTGTTAGTGTCTAATGCTGTGTAGTGCAAAGAAAGTCCCATTTTGGCTTCTGAGCTTTTTGCCTGGTTTGTTTTTGCCAGAAAATCATAGCCTATACTGATCTCCTTGAGAGCTGAATCCTGCAAGCTCTGGTGGTTCAGCCTGTAGTTAATACTAAAATAGTCTTTTATATCTTCATTAGCTCGTGACAATATTGTTCCACGATCAAACTTTCCCATTTGGAAGACAGAAGGACACTTTTGTCTTTCTATTCTCCGCCTATATGAAATGTTTCAGATTGCAGGTTTTCACTGGGACTTGAGATAAATCCACAGAACGTGAAACAACAAAAATCCATGCCATCTTCCATATGCTGTTACACATCTTCATAATGTTTCATAAAAATAAACACTGCAAAAGAAACATTATGAAGTTGCTTTAGCTTACGGATCTGTAAGACAGAAGCAGAGTGGTAGTCCCTTCTCATAACCTTTCTGCTTAACTCTTTTCAGCATTTGTGCTAGTATGACATTATTAATGATAACTTGTACACATCCCCTCACAGAGGTAGTCATTGTATTTCCACTTTTCAAATAGGGAAGAGAGGCCTGGAGAGGCTTTGTGGCTTTTCAAGGCAAGAGGGGAAGACAGCGGTTCACTGGAGATGGAGACGTGTGCTTCTTGCCTCCCAGCTTCCTGCTTAAACTCTTCCTGCCTTTTCCGGTTTCGCAGTTGGTTTAGTGCTCACGTTCATGCCAAACTGCCCACTCTGAATTGCTGGGGAGAACCCAGGCCTGGGCGTTGTGAGTCCACCTCAATCTGTATTTTGGGATTCACATGGTTTTACATGATGGCTAAAGATCACGAAAAATCAGAGAGAAACTGCTGCCAATATTTTGGCTGAATTACAAATTGCATGTTCTGACTCTAGATTAGTAAGCCCATGTTTATTTTTAAAGTATGTTCCACCAGTAGAAAAAATCTATAGTGAATGTCTCCTTGTTGGGTATGTCAGTTGTGCAAGGAATCCACACACCCTTTATCATATTCCTGGCATGGCAGCACTTACCACCTTCTGGTAAGGATGTAGTTATTTGAACTGTGTTCATGAACCCAGCTGGGCAGGTGCAGTTCACCGAAAATGCAAAATACCATGAATACTACTGAACTTTAATCTCTTGAGAAATTCTTCTTTAGAATGAGCAAGGCTTAGGCTGCACTTTCATCCAGGTGTTTTTGCCAGGGAACCACAGATGAGTAGTGTAGGGTGAGTCTCTGTGCGGGGAATGACTGTGCATGAGGAATCATCTTTGCTCGCAGGCAGGGCCCTCTAACAGATCTACTGGATTAGAGAGGAATTGTGTCACCTGAGTCATCTTTAGCAATACCGTGACACAGAGCATCACTCATCTGGGGTGAAAGGAGTTAACAGCTTGAAGTGCTAGGCAGATGAATGTTGTTATCCTGGAAAAACAGGCCAGCGAATTTATCTCCGGTTTAGAGATAAAAACGTAGGGAAGTTTATGCAAGGTCACCCCGAGAGTCACTGCCAGAAGCTGCAATGGGCTCCAGTGCCCGCTCCTCATCCTAAGGGCAGGCGCGGAGCTGCAGGTGAGCCCCAGGAACCTGGACCTGCTCCTCATCCACAGGTGCTCCCCTGGAAGGAACTTGGCCTGGAAGCCAATGAGAGCAATTCCAGTCCATTTCTTACAGGGGCTTTTTACAGTTGGTTGGCTGTGAGGTGGGAGCACGAGGGATAGCGAGACTGGGAACTCAACTCTCCATCTGCTCCCCACTGCCCAACAGGGGCATTTGATGAGCTGGAGAAGTGCAAGTGGCTGCGGGTACTGAGCAGATGCTGCCCTTTACCCACAGCGGTGCCGTTTGCCCTCACTCCTCTGGCTGGGGCAGGTGGAATGTAGCCCAGCTAATGGTTCGTGCAGAGCCTTGCTCTCCTGTGCCTCGCATTTCAAGCAGGAAAGCACACTGAGGTCTGTGGAGCAAGACAGGACTGTGTTTCTGAGCCGGCGTATTGATTTGGAAGCCACTGGTGCAGAGATGCTTGCTGCTCTGCCTGCGTTTTGCGGGTGCAGCTCTGGGCTCTAGGAACCCTCCTGCCATCGGGCCCTCTGCCTGATGCCGAAAACCAGCAGGTTTGCCACGCACAGAAGCAGACTGTTTTTGATATGCTACATAATTACGTTGTAGAATCTGTTGCTAAGGGTATTGTGGATGTCAGAGTGTAAGTGGGCTTAAAAAAAGATGAGGTAAATTCGGGAGGGCTGAATCCATTTGAATTTAGTAAACATCCTCTGTATGCAGCCTGCAAGAGAGGAGCCTCTAGGCTGCTTGCCAGGAGGGGGCTCCAAGGAAGGGAAACCTGGCGCTTGCCCTGTTCCTTTTGGGCAGTGTCATGGCAGTACAGGTACTCTGGAGCTGGTGGTGAGGGGGATAGGAGGAGAAAGGTGCTGCTGAGATCATCCCATGGTCAAGTGCCTGCCTCTCTTGCTTGGCCCTGTGCCCACAGGCTATGACCCTTTCTGAGAGGTAGCGAAGCCCCAAGCGAAACCAGGTCCCCAGACTCCAGACTGGAGGCCTTGAAAACCTACAGCAGGATCGTAGGGAATGTTTTGGCTACATCTAAAACTATGTTTGTCTGTTTTGACTCTTAAAATCTGTGGTTTTTGAAGTATATTCCAGGAAAGATACATTGTAGCAGATGCCTCCATGTTTATGGGGATTGCTCCGGGGGCATAGGCAAAGTTGCAAATCTAGATGTGGTCCCTGTATACGGCTCCTGGTTGGACTAGTTCTCCTGATACAGAATATGTTCAGGCCTCAATAACAAACTGAGGAGAGAGCATGGGATTGCAGGCCACTGACCAGAATTCCTCCTCTCTGCAAGGAATGGTCTTGCCAGCAGCTCCTGTTGTCCTGCTGCAAGATGCTGCTCAGTGGTGAGGAGAACATAAGTGCAAAGAAAACCCACATTCTTTTATCATATTTTCTTCCAGTTCCTGTCAGGCTGTTTTCAGCAAACCTCAATGCCCACCTGTTTCTGCACCCTGCATGGAAGAAAGCCAAGCCCTGAGGCACAGCCAGGTAAGAGAAGGCACCTCCTGTACAGAGAAGTTGCCCAGCCGTGTGTGTGTTACCCAGCACTGGCTTTCATGAGGCATGTGGATCTCACATCATAGTTTGCATAAAATACCCCTGATCTAAACATATAATTGCCATACAGTTCAAAATAGGCTGGGCATTCCCCATGCAGTGTCCAACACATGCTAGGAAGTGTTTTTTTATTTTTGTTTTTTTTCGACTTGGATTGCTTATCAGACCCTGATTTTACTAAAAGTGGCACTGTAGTGATGGGCAGAGCAGCCTGTGCACATCTGAAGTATCATTTATGTATTGAAACATGGAGGGTTTACCTAGCAGTGTGGTAAGCAAGTAACTGGAAGGTGGCTGCTTGCAGGCGCTCGCCCACCAGGATGTTCCACGGAGTTTGGCTGTGCGCTCTCAGACTGTTAAAATCTTGGATACAGCTTTTGTCCCCCAGTCTGTGCTGCTGCTAAGGAAAGGGACTGTGCCCCATCCTGCACTGGCTGGGAGCAGCGATTACCTTCCATGTTCTGGATTCAACCCATGTGCTGACACTGGTTCTAAAGCAGCAGAGAACAGACACTAGAAATCTGGTGCTTTCAAGGTCATAGGAGCACATTTCTAAATTAAAGGTTACTTGATGGGACCCAAGAAAGCCTTATATAAATTGTATCTTGTGCTATTCTTCAAGTTTATTTTTTGGCTTGAAATGTGCAGGTCTACTGATCACTCATCCATTTCTGTTTTTGCTGCAATGTAAACTGCTGGAGAAAGCCTTTTTAGAAGAGGCTTTCAAAAGCAGGATACCATATTTGCTGGCCTCATTATGGGAAGTGTCTGAAGCTCTGAGAACAGTAACAGAACCTCTTTGAGCCTCTGAAAGCATCAATATAAAGATCTGTATCTTGGAAAGTGGCCTTTTACCAGCCATAATGTGAGCCAGATGAGTAGGAGAGCTTTGGGCATTAATAATGAATGAGCCTTTTCTAAGATTTCCAGAGCGTGCAGTCTCTGTAGCTAGAGCTTCCTCTCGCTGTTTTGGATTCTTGCACTGATTTTGTGATCGTGCAGAAACACGACACTCGGTGCCATATAGGCTACGGAACAAGATACCGTGTGATGCCTGCAGATGTCAAAAAGGGACATCTTCATACCTTCATAACGACCATGGAGTACAGGAAATTAGAAAAGCTTCCCCCCTGCCCAGCTCCTGCTTGGATAATTTAACGTGTATCACATGGCAAGGGAGGGAGCTTGAATGCAGAATGATTTTGCAGTATCCTACAGGCATCCTGGGCACTCTGATTCTTGCTGAGTGAACTTTTCATGGGCTTGTCATAGGGATATCAAATGCTTGGTTCCTGTGTCTGAGCTGTGGGTGTGCAGACATACCCTCCCTGTAGTTCAACATGACTTTTGAGTTTGCTCTTTGTGACTCATTCATCCCTCCACAGTTACCGTGAGAGTAAAACAAAACAAAAAACTCGTTTTGGAGACATTTTTTTCCTTCCTTGAACAGGACCTCTTTCCCAGTGAGCAACTGCATTCTTAACAGTCGCAAGTGATGAGGCTGTGATTGCTACTGTCTCTTCCAGGTACCAGAGGATCCAGCTGGGGACCCATCGGTCAATGACACATTCTGGGCAGCCTGGCTGCTCTTCGAGTTCTCCGCCGGGGGACGAATGTGACCTGCCCGCCGGGAAACGCGGCAGGTCTGCACTTCCCCAGGCCCTTTTTTCTAAAATTGAATGAAGGTTTTGACATGGAAATGAGGAATGGAGAGAGAAAAGGCCTCCATCCTTCTACCTTGTTAACAGTTAAAAAGTTTGCTTTAGTTACTGTTTTATTAAGAATACTGCAAAGAATTGAAGAAACTAAAGGTGCGTTGCAGACTGTAGATTTAAATGTGAGTTAAAAAATGTAGGTTTAAAACTTCTGCTCTAACTCACTGGGCAAATACTTTGCAGAAAATTTGTATTGCGAGGGCTAATCTTTACCAAAAATACAGCTGGGAGCTGCACCATGTAGATGTCCTCGGTACCTTTTGTAATCAAAGTAGCAAATAAAGGTTATGTGTGACTCTCTCCAGGGCTCGTTTTCGAGGTGATCATATGAAGTTATGACACTCATTGGCGCCTCAGCGCCCCAAGGCCCGGGTAGGTGTTTGTGTTGTAACCCCCTGAGCTTCCTGTGGGTCTCTCTCCCTGCAGCACTCTCGGAAGGGCGTTTTCCTGCTGCCGCATGCTCAGCATTCACAACGCTTGTGCGAGAAGGGAATTTTTATTAGACAGATGTTCACATTTTTACTTGCTCGAAGCACGGGGCCGGCGCTGGGTGAATCCCCGCGGGCAGTGGAGGAAGCCCCTCACACACATGCCCGGGGCGCGCGGCCCCCTCGCGCCGCCCGCGCCCGGCCCGACAAACAGCGCTGCCGCAGCCCCGCGCCGCCCTCGGGAGACAGCCGCTCAGGGAGCCTCGGGGGTCCTGTGGCGAGGGCAGGGAAGCAGCAGAGCAGGGAGCTGCTGCACCCGCACTTGCGCTGCTGACGGTAGGCAAGAGGTCGCTTAGGGAGGCCAGGCTGTCTGCGTTAAATGCGCGTTGCGCTGTGGTGGGCAAGGTGCGCGCCTTCCTCGTCGCCTGGGGTGGAGTCGAAAGAAAATAAGGCACTGTGGTGTGCCAGGCGCTGGAAGAGCTTCCATGCCAAAGGAGCCACCCGTGTGAGCAGAACTCAGCTCTGGCTCTTGTTAGCCGTGTGTATGAAATACCAAATAAGGTATTTTATTCCTCAACCCTTAATGACATGATGTGTCAGTATTGCTACAATGATTCAGCTAGTCTATGGAATGTAATATACGTGGATGGGAGCTTGGGTGGTTCCAGTGTACACTGACGAGTTGAAGTACAGAGGAATGATGCTTTAGTTAGTGAGATGTATCTTCACTCCCTTTCAAGTACTTTGTTGTGCTGCTTGTGGGGAAATGACTCTGGATAGATTAACAGTACTCCACCTGTATAGAGATTCTAGGTGCCTGCCATTCAAAATTAAATTAGGTTATTTTCTAAAAAGACAACACATACTAATCTATGCAGGCATTAGAGTTTCAGATATAACTGGCCTTTGCTCTACAGTCTTACAAATACAGGTGTGCACAGGTCTTGTAAACTTTATAATAATCCAAGAATACAGTTGTTCAACATTGTTAAGGAAGAATCTTCAGAATTTGTAAGGAGTGCTGGAACAACAAGTATTCCTCCAAATGTAAATTTAAAAAGGTTTTGCAGTTAAAGCAGAGTTGAAGCCTTTTGTCTTACACTTCTCTTAATGAATTTCATTTCCAAATTTAGCACAGGGGCTCTCTGGAGGACAGTTGAATTTTCTAGGTCGTTTCCCAGATGAAATAAGTTGCTAATTTTCCAGAAATTTATATTAATAATGATTCACAGCTCGATACGCGCAATCAAGTTAATAGCAAGAGGTGTAAAACCAAGTGGCAGAAGCACCATGCATCCTGGCCCACTTGCATCCCTGCCCTGTACTACCTGGATACTGGATCCTGGATCTGCCTGAAAGGCTTTGGTGGAGCCAATTGCACTGAGAGCAGTTTGCAGGCTGTGCTTGCAGGTGATCTCTGGCCACGCTGGGGTACAGGTGGCTGCATAGAGTTGGAGAAAAGCTGTCCCCTCCCTGTGCATGAGCTGGCACAGCCTGGAGGCACCACTATACTGCATAGGCAGAGATCAAGGGGATCTCTGCTTAGCACTGGGTCTGGCTTTCTCCATCTGTGGTGCTGAGGCTTTGGGAGTGGTGGAGTTCTTCCAGTTAGACTATATCCACACTGGGCGATAGAATTGTTCAATTTGTGTCTTACCTTGTTCCCCTTTCCTGGCTGTGATTTATATCCTAGCCTTGTTCTAGTTTCCCTCTCCTGCCATATGTAGCAGGCTCTGGATGTGTTGGTGTTTGTCTTCCTTGGAGCTGTAATTAGAAGTACTCTGAGCATGTGGCTGACCTGCCCTGAGCTCAGTGTGCTGTACCTGCTGTTGTCATTCCTCCTCCCCCTTAACATGTTGTGGCCTAACAAAAGATGACTCTTGCCCTAGATAGGAAAAACAAAGCCATTTTTATCCTTAATGTTGTAGGAGACCTCAAAGAGCAAAACTTACACGTGTCAAATGGTCACAGAAAAGAGATGGAAATCTAGGAGCATCTTCGGAGGCGTTGTTAATTAGCTGTCTCTGAGGGGAGAGGGCCATTTTCCCAACAGGCAGGCAATCACATTTTCCAGTGCTGCAACTAAAATCAACTTTCCTCTTTGCAGCAGATGGGCCTGAGACAGGCAAGGTCAGGACTGAACTGTTGCTAAGTTAGATGTGTGATACAGAAATGGGAGTATGGAGGGTTTGCACTGTAGCTACTCATGAAAAACTTCTCTGAACCTCATCTGATACAGTGCTAAAGAGGATTAATTACATGAAAAGTCACTTTTCCTTTTCAATCCCCTTGATGGTCTCTGGCAGCTATCATGGTTACTGATGGGCTCGTCTGGGGCCACTCTGGACAAGCGGCAGGCCAGACAGCTTGAAGGCCAATGTTTCCAGGCAGTCTCTCATTCTGGATGCTTGGCTTGATTTGTTTGGGGCCTTGTTTTCAGAGGAAATGAGCGCTTAAGCAGTGACACAAGTAGAGCAACCAGAATAAGAGGCCACTTCTGAAAAGGCTGGCAAAAGCATTTTATCTCTGCTCTTCATTAGTCTTATCCCCAAAGTCTTTCATGTTATGTTCTACAATGAAAGGTCATTGTTTCAGATCGATCGTATTCAGTGGAATTTAATCCAATTCTAAGTCAAACTAATCCACTTTAGTAAAGTTTGAAGAACAGTAAAAAATCATTTGTTAAGAAAGATCTGGGGTTATTTTTTTAATATGGCCATTGATTCAGAGTCCCTAACTGTGTGTGCATGTGCATGATGGCGTGCTGCATCTTGGGGGTGATTCTGGAAATGCCAGACATCAACATTCTAACCTTATCCATAGACTGCAATGCTCAGCACCTCTGAAAACCCCTGGGCGTTGGCAGGATTGTTTTTCTCATGTGCAGTAGTCGCTTAACATAGACTTTTTTTTTTTTCTGTTACAGGTGGAGGGCTTTTTTTTTTCTATATGACATTCTGCTAAAGGTTTCTGGTAAGAGGCTTTTTCATGTTTTCCTGCTTATTGTAAATTCCAGTTACCTTAATTTGATTAATCACATAAAGATTAAAAACACATTTCTATATCTGGACAAGCCTTTGGCAAACACTGCGAAGCAGCTTTGTAAGAGTTAAAACTGCTTCCCATTAGCTACTGTGTTCTTGCTACTTACACAAACCTCCGTAACTGAGCATGCTTCACAGCTTCCTGTGAATATTCCTGAATCATTCTGGCACGCAAAAACACTGCTATGATTTTTTATTCAGACATAGTGTTCGTTCTTTGCTGGACTCTAAAATGAGCAAGCGCTTGAACACAGCATGTTTCATGGGAGAGTTCTGGGGATTTATCAACTCATGTCTGCACAGGATCTTGAACATGCAAAGGGGTCCTGCCTATGAAAGCTGAGTGGTGTTAAATATATTGCAGGTGATCACAATCAGTAGGTTTCAGTATACAGTGTAGATCCCTTTCCCCTGAGGGAGCAGGAACTTCACAGATTTTGCACAAATCACTGCCCTTCTCTGGAAAAGGTCTTCCCCATTGTTGAACAGCTGTACAGCATAAATGCCACAATTCACGTCATGAACACTGCTGGTTCTGAGCACTGTAATCTTTCTGCCTCCATTCGGGATTTACCTTTGAGTTATGAGGAAGGTTCTTTGAGAATTATTACAGATTAATATGAAATTGAAATATGACAAATAGTATTTTCTCAAACACTGTGACAGCCCAAAGGATTCTGCTGCTTGTTAAACTGTGGTGTATGGTTTGGCTAGAATTATATCATTGAAATTATAGTCTCTTGTGGTTTGGGAAGGAATCATCACACTTCAGCTACACCCACTCCTATCTTTTGCTCTGATCTTGTCATTGGTTACAACACCTTCCCTCCCTGATGTGCACTTACCTCGCTTTATTGCGGGGATATGCTGCCAGGCTTCTAACAATAAAGATTATAGATAGTCCTCAGCCTGTGAAACAATCTGTCCTTACAGCACAGTCTGAACATCTTGCCCCCACCTAAGTAAGTGCCAGTCCCATTTCTTCCAAGATCACATGCCCCAGACCCCCAGCTCTCTTTTCTTCACCATCCCCATCTCTGCTTCCTTTTCCTGTGATGTGGAAGCTGATCAGCCTCCCCCATCACTTGGCAGTTGTGTCTGCTCTCTTTCTGGTTTTCAATGCCTTGTGTCTTAGTATCATTTAGCAGAGCCCTAAATAAAACATTTCCTTGCTGCAGAGGAAGAGCAGGAAGATTGCTTGCTCCAGGAATGAGAAGTATGTTAGCAGCAGGGCCTTTTACTGCCAGTGCTTTAGCTCCGTAAGTCTCAGGAAGAGTGGTGTAAAAAGTGGGATCCTTGCTCCAGAACAACCAGAGAAGGCAGCCTTTGGCAGTGATGGAAGGCTCTGGCATGGCACCTCTGTCATCACTTCATTTCCCTGTCATGCTTCCTCTGTGTCAGTGCACCTCATAGCCTTGGTCCCTCTGCTAAATGCCAGCACTGGGGACAGTCTCTTCGAGAGCGCTTTGCTGTCCCCAGTGCCCCGTGTGGAGCTTAGCAGTGAACTGGAATGGCATTTCAGCAAGGAGCTATTTGCGGAACATCGGTGCTGTCCAATAATCAGATATGCCAGTGGAGCAGAGCCACTGCCTTAGGTCATGGTGCAATTTTCAGTACTATAAGTTTCTCTATTATTGCTGGGTGTGGTAACTATGCCAACAACTCAAATCCTGCCTCATGAGAGCCGTATTTCTGAGCTCCTGTCTGGATTTTGCTGGGAATCACAGAGCTGTGTAATGTTGTGTACTGTGCTGGGCATCCAAGCTCTGCAGGGGAACCACAAAGCTTGCTCGCGTGTTGTGTGCCCCATTCTGTGCTCTAGGAAGGGGTCAGCTGACGTTGCCAGTTCCATTTTTAGTTTAAAAAAAAAAAAAAAAAAAAAAAAAAGCATTGTGACTAAGCTTCTAAACATTGCAGCATATTGAAGCCTACTGCATGAGCACTAATTGTTTTTTATTTGCACCTTTATAGCTCCTGGGAGCCACTGATACAGCAGAGGATTCAGGGCACTAGGTGTTGAACACACAAGGGAAAAGAGGTACTCTCCCAATGCCCTTGTATGTCTGAAATGTACTCATTACCTTGTTTACAGTCAGACTGTGGAAGTGCTACCTGATTTTTGTGCTTTTTCTTGCCATGTTGGAGTTAGACGTACGTCTGATTTTAAAGCAGAAATGAGACATGTCACCTTGTGGGTTCAAGGTTAAGAATTTCTGAGATGCTTTAGCCTGAAAAATGGCCATTTACACAGACAGGAAAAAAAAAAGCATTTCATGAGAATGTTTTTAAT